AACCAGGCCTGCCCCGCAGGGACCAAAGACGGGCGAGATATTATGGACAGAGTGTCTACAAAATTATTAGGCAGCTATACAGAGCGAGACTGTATCTGAGAGCGAAAAAGTGCTCTTCAAATTGTGAGCTCAGATTTCAGTTTACGTCTAGATTAAAGGAGATTGCAACACCAGATCTGCCCAGCAGAGGGTGGAATTAAGTTACAAATCATGATTTTTAGGCAAAGTTTTCTATTTTTAGAAATAAGTAAATACAAAACAGTTTTTTTTTTATTTTTGTGACTTTTATGCAGCTCTTATGCTTTATGTTTCTTCCATGGTTAAGTTTCCAATCTGTATTTTTAAAAATACCATATTTATTTCTAAATCACATAGACTCTCTTACGGAGTATTTTTTTTAAAGAGGCTAATTGGTGCAAATATTTTCCAGACATGCAAGATTCAGGAATTACTGAATGTTCGAGCAAGAGACCACCGGCCGCTGAAGGAGAGAGGGAACTGGTTATACTGACTCATTTTGTTGGACTTTGGGGCGAGAAGGTTGTGGCTTCTCCTGGGGGCGGTTATGTTTGCTGAGCTCCCTCCGCCCAGCCGGCTACTTCACAGATGCATTTCCAGAGGCAAACCCATGAGACTCTTAAATAACCAGAAAGCACGTGATTTATTATTTCTCCAGTAACAATTCGCTTATCTAGGGGTTAGACGGCTGGTGACTGGCTACCCGTCGGGCAAGGAAGCCAGCGGGTGTCAGAAGCTGTCGTCTTGATCTCACCTGGCAGAGACTGCATCTCCTCACCTGTTGGGTCTGCCCTAAGACCCCTCAAGTTCTGGCCTTGAGGGGCTGCTGCTCCTCCCTGAGGCCCCTTCTGATGGCTAAGCCAGTTGGTCCCTCTCAATAATCTTCAATATCCTTTCAGTTACAGAGTTCCTAAAATAAAATTTGGCACCCGTTATTTAAATGTCAACAAGACACAGAAGCCCCTTTATTTTCAAATTTTTAACTTACTAACCTCCACAGAAACAAATGAAGTCGTCTCCTGGAACAGCAGTACGCCACTCCATCCCTACCGTAGATGGGGAGGGCAGGCGTGTGTGAGCCGTCACTCCGGACCTCGTTTTGGGAGTTGGGGTGGGTAGGGAGGTAGAAGGGACTTTGAACAGTGTCTGGGAACTTAAACCTGTTCCTAAGTAAAGGGGCTTCTGTAACTGCGTGATTCTGACATCGCATTTTTAAAAGCAATCTCTTCTAAAAACAAACAAACAAGGTGCAAACTATATGTTGATTATTTGACCGTCTGTTTAAAAGAAGAACGTATTTCTGGGTTTGCATCTGAATAAAATATTTCCAGGTAGATCACATGAAGGAAAGGCCCCTCAAGTTCTGGAGGAAGATACGTGTGAGCGCCTCAACTTCGTGTGAGCACCTGGGACGGGCAAGGGGGCAGCTTTGGCTTTGTAGTTTAAAAACCTGCCAGCTCCATGGATCCCCTGGGCCTTCTTTGCCTCATCTGTGAAATCCAGAAGCAAGAGCATATGCTTTAAAAGTCAAGGTTGTCCCTGGGGGGATCTTGGAAACCAGCTGAACTGTGGCTCTCTAATGTTGGGCCGTCTGCCGTCTTTGGCCATGTGATCTGCTGTCTTTGGCCACGTGATCTTGCTGGGGTTTGATCATGAATGACCCGTTGGGTCTAGAGGAGGACCAGTCTCAGGTCCTCGTATAGAACTCTGGCTTCTTCACGGAGTGGCTCAGTCTGCTTCTCTCTCGCATTAGTCCTCTGCTCTAGACAAACTGGTCTGTGCACCTGAGGCTTTGCTCCGGCCAAGAAAAAGGCTCTTAACCTGCAAGCCCCCTGCCCTCTCCTTGCCATTTGCAAGTGTCTCCAACTGCTGAGGTCCCCACAAACATTTGATGATCCCTTTTATCTTTGCATTCATGGAGCAATTATTTTCTTCATTGCTATTTAGGCCCTTAGCATGTTTCACTATATTTATCTGAGTATCTAAAAAGATACGCAGGATTTGTTCTCTTAGGTGTCTTCTGTCTACCCACAGTTCCAGACAGTTACTGTCTTGCTATTTATATTTAAACGATTGTTCGGTCAAATTCTCTCCTCCTAACCATTTCCCCCCAAACGTATTTGTCCTAATCTCTTCTATTACACTTGGTGTAAAGTGACTCTCTCTTTCTTTGTCATCACACTGGCCTTTGAACGGTACCGGGGAAAATTTTTAAACTTCTTTTCTCTTTGTCCAGGTCTTGTCCTCTAATGGAGGTGATAATTAGCAGTGGAATGGTTAAAAATAATGATGACGGCTTGCTATCATTATTATCTGTTGAGCAGCGCTTGTTTTGTGCTAGACACCATTCAAAGTACTTTACACAGATTAATTCATTTAATTCCCATGATAGCCCTATGACACGTGTACCTTTATTATCCCACGTATGGTTGAGGAAACAGAGGAACAGAGAAGTCACTTGTCAGAGGTTACAGACTAGAAGATTGCAGATGCAGGATTTAAACCCAGGGCCTCCACCCACTGTGTTATCTTGCTCCTTGAAAGATGAGTAGTAGTGAAAAGGAAGAGAAACAACTGTGCTGGATAAAGCCACGTTTGTCGTCAGTGCCCAGACATCTTTCAAAATGTTTGAGAAATATTGGCGACTGAGATGAGGGACACAGAGCCAAAAGAAATTGGAGGATTGCGCAATTGTTCTGTGAGTTTACAAGCTGGAGAAAGCCAATCTGGATAATGAAGTAGTGGTCTTTTTCGTCCTCAGTTGTGTAAGTTTTTACTGAGAAGGCTAGCAATAATAAAGCCCTGATTAACGTTTCTGAGAGTCAAACATTCCCCTTGTGGGAACGTTTGCCTGTTTCACTTCTGCTTATAAAAACTGAGCTAATGGCTTTGTAATTTTTATTTTCACTGAGCAGGAAAAAAGCTAACTATGCTTTCTGATTGGCATGTAGCTACGCGCTGTTCACACACTAATATAGAAAGCCTCAGGCGAGTCTGTTTTGCCCACTGGGAAGCTATGAACAGTGAGATTTCTTATGCAAAAAGCGAACGTTTGAAGTATGCTAGTTTCGCATGCCTGTATTAGCATTCCAGAAACTTGTCCTTTCGACTTGAGTTGACTTCTGCAGGATAACTTTTCAGGAAAAGTAGTTTTCTGATCTGTGGTGGTTGGAAAAATAAAGAAATAAGCAGTTTCCTGTAATCATTATCGGATCCCAACTTTCTTAATAATTCACCTTAAAGCTGAGCTCCATTGAGACACCAGTTCTCAGACTTTAGTGAGCAGAGGAATCACCTGGGGAACTGATCAAAATGCACGTTCTGGGCCCCATCCTCAGAGACCCCAGGTGATTCTGATGCAGGCCTCCTCAGCGTGCCAGGAGACGATGAAGGAGGGGGCATGGAGTGGGGAGTAGAGAAACTCAGGACTCGGGGACCCAGGCACAAAAGTGCCAGAAAGTAGGTGGGCCAGTCATCAGGGCTGCTCAGGGAGCTGTCTGAAGTCTGGCCTCCAGGTAACAGAAGACCTCAGCTCCTAGGTAACAGGGGACCACTCAAATCTAGCTTGCACCTATGGTGACAACCCCTGATCTCCCGTGCAACCGTATTCTCTAGGTTTGGGGGAGAAGGAAGTCAGTCAGCCGATGGCTGAGTGCTCACCGCGAGCAGCTGGGGTGGGGCGAGGTCAGGAGCAGCTGGACAGGGAGAGACACCTACGTCTTACCATTTTACCATTTTGTTTTGCCTTAGTCTTAAGGGCTGGGTTTCCAGCCTGCAGGCTGCACACTAAGACGGGGACATGAAGCTATTGCAAAGGGGGAAACGCTGCGCAGGGTCCAATCAGGAGAAATTACACCCCTTTTTTTAGAGGAATACTATGAGAACTGCTGAGGGTCTAAGACAGGACCCCCAGGCTGGGATCTGCTCACACCTGGTCTGTGAAAGTGTGATGAACTCTGCATTCTTCCTACGTGGAAGCAGGGCCCAAGAAACCGCCTACTCACCCCTGCCCCCCGCCAGGAGGCAGTGAACCAAAAAGGCAAAGAGGAATGTCTAAGGAGGATTCCAGGGGGCTTCTGTGGGATGGGTGCTGTAAACCTTTTTCTGTCTCCAATGGAGAGAGAGTCAATAATTCTGTATGTCTCACCAGTGCTTCTACAGGAAGTTTCTTCTTTTGGGAGAAATAAGATGGCAGCAGCTTTCTGAGATCCCTATCTGTGCTTTAAACGTTATCTTAGATCTAGGAAGTCATTTGTTTTCCACCTGTGTGAACTAGGCTACCACTTTTCAAATATAACTCTGTAGATGTTGTGACAGATAAAATGCAAATACATTTTTAAAAGACATCTTGAATTCACAGATTTTTTTTTTTTTTTTCCTTTGGTGAGGAAGATCGTCCCTGCATTAACATCTGTGCCAGTCTTCCTCTATTTTGTACGTGGGTCACTGCCACGGCGTGACTGAGGAGTGGTGGAGGTCTGTGCTTGGATCTGAACTGGTGAACCTGGGCCACTGAAGCAGATCTCAGAACTTTAACCACTACGCCTCGCGGCCAGCCCCCCACAGTAGATTTTGATGGTAGTTTTCTCAATCCCTTTTGTGTTTGGGTCTGTGGAATTTTTTGACTTTCGAAAGGAGTTCCTCATACTTAAAAAGGGTAGAAACCACTGACATAAGATATCACGACAATGTCTTCAATTTGACCGTAGAGTATGCCTCACATAACGCAGAACCCTGAGCAGGGACCCTTCGTTGTGTCATTTACGATGGATTTTCTTTGAAAGAGTAAAAGTGAACTGCATTTTGGTTTGATTTTAGCAAAACATTAACACTGAATGAATGCTCAGGGGTGTCTATAATGCATGTTTACTTAAAAAACTGTCACATTATTTGGCTCTGTCATTGTATGAGAGAAACGTCTACCTGTTGCTTAGTAAGAACGTGCGAATCCAGAAGTACTGACTGCGTTTCGTCTTCCCCAGGCTCTGTGATGTGGTGTACTTGTTACGTGCCCTGAGGACCCGCTGAGATATTTAGAGGAAACGATCATTACTATAATGGAAAGCGGTCTCGAAAGTCTCCTTTGGTAAGTGTTGTTTTGATCTATAGTAAGGAGATATTTTATTTTGAAGGTAAAACGCTCATTGTCTGGTATCAAAAAAGGTTTTGCAACGAATGCTTCCAATCTTAAGGCTGCTGAAGAATCCTTCCAAAGGCTTTTAAGTCCCAAAGACTTCAACAGGAACATTTCCCTCCTGTTCTCAGCTTGAGAAATATAGGGTGCTCTCATCAATAATGTGCTCATAGGGCAGTTTATTTCAAGTTGGGGATGAGGAAAGGGAGGCATGCCCTCTTGGGGAGCCTGGCAAAATCTTGAGGGGGGTAGTTTGAAAAAGCCCTCCAGGTGATTCTGATATACTTCTCCCAAGGGGAAGTGTCTTTTCCTTGCCCTCTCTTACACTCCACCTGTATAGATCACTGATTTAATTATGGAACTAACTACTATGAAATAAAATAAAAAATTTTTTTTTTTTTGGTGTGGAAGATTGGCCCTGAGCTAATATTTGTGCCAATCTTCCTCTGTTTTGTATGCGGGATGTCACCACAGCATGGCTTGATGAGCAGTGTGTAGGTCATGCCTGGGATCTGAACCCATGAACCTTGAGCTGCCGAAGCAGAGCATGTGAACCCAACCCCTACACCACTGAGTTGACCCAAAATGAAATAAATTTTTGACTATGTTTTATGACTTTATTAAAGGGATATGTACATTGATCCATCAATGAAACCAAAAATTCGGAGATTGTCTGAAACTTACATGGAACGTCTTTTTGGACTGGAAGATCAGCTGGTGAGTGTTAGTAATCAAGCGTTCTAAAATACACATCTTCAGTTTTGGTGGAAGCTCTCAAATAGATTTTAGATTTTATGAGAGGTGTGAGGTCAGACTGTTTTTGGAACTGGGTCGGTCTGTTTTCACTCAGAAAAGTGAAGGAACGTCACACACACACACACACACACACACACACACACACAGCGCCACACTTGTAGTAACCTCCCCAAATTTTGTAGGAACATTTAGACAGGCGTTCATTCTTCCTCTTTCTGATGGAACCTTTCTACTCAATTTCTCCCTTTGCCTTTCTCCTACTCCTCCTGTCTTGCATCTTTATAATGATAAAAATAGCATTATGGAAAGCTTTAAAGGAGGATTTTTCCTTCCTTTCTAATCTAGTACTTCCTTCTGTGGTCCATCCCCCCTCCATTCTCTCTGCCATCTGCCTTGGAGTTATGCTCATAAATATGTGGCCAAAACATTAGTGAGATCCAACTTAAAAGCCAGACTGATGGTTAGTAAAAGGAATGACCAGCTCCAACGCTGGCTTTGATCCTGTAAAGAGGGCAAAGAAGTAGTTCAGGATGCGGAGACTTTTAGAGCAAAGACTGTGTGTCTAAGAGAAGCTAAGATAGCAAAAGGCATTTGGGGAGAGAAATACCAACACCAATTAGATGCGTATGGGACCACGCGTGATGCCTCTGGATCCCAGGCAGGTGTCTCGGGAAGCGCAGGCAGAGCTGGGGAGCTGCCGGTGAAGCTGGGCATTGAAAAGTGGAGTGAAAGCCACAGTTGAGGGAGGTGCTGGGGGCTGGGAACAGTCTGAAGCATCATTTAGAAGAATACATGGAGAGTAACACTGGATCCTAATCAGTGGTCTGCAACAGAGAGACAGAAATAGAGGCGTGGGATATTTCTGCCAAGCCTGGGATGATTCTGCAGCACCGATACACTGGGAAAAACCCACACGTCTGATCCTAGTTGATCTGACTTTACTGTCAACCACAGACCTGTGATCAATTATGGAGTGCAAATATCTGCAGGCTGTGTTCTTGGAGAGGTTTGCGGGGGATCTCAGGAGCTGAGGGACAGACCTAGGGGATGGAATTCTAGGTCCTCCCATCCCCACCCCTTATGCTCTAGAATAGTTTCATTTTGAGTATAATGGCACATGAAAAAAACTTGAAAACCGTTGCTATAAGATACTAAAATTATTAAAAACCGCTGATCTAGAGGGATGAACCTCATTGTCAATATTTGAAAGCAGTCTTATAAAATGCAATCAGATCATGTCCAGTGTCTAACTCGAAGCCTCTAGAGAATTTTTAAAAAATTGCACAGAATTCCAAGACACACCATAGCCACTTCAAACCTAAAGTTTTATTAGAAAAGGAATTCTCAGAGACGTTTCGTGACATTGAAAGCACAAAGGATAAAACATTGAAAGCTGATGCAGACTTACAAAGGGGTATGACAGTTCACCGAGGTGTAGAAAAGATGCCCACTTCACAGCATAAGTTAGGAAAAACAGAAACCAGCTGTGACTTTGGAAAATGTAAATCTCCAGGCGCATGGCGTTGCTTAGTCTGAGGGCTCAGCATAGGTTAGATATGTATTAATTCATTTCTCCTCCACCCTCAGAGAAAAATGAAAAGTTGGTTTTTTTTTTTAACAAAGAAATAAGATTCTTTAATCCTCAATGTTTCTAATATTTTAAATGACCGTGTACTCAATAAATATGAGCTTTGCTTTTTCCCCATTTTTCCTTCCTATACAGTTATAAATGCCAGTAAGAGAGTTTTTAATGTTTTGACAATTCATTTTAAAGAACACCACCAAGTGTAATTTTTCCCATTGATTGTTAAGCTTGCTTTGCGTGGTTTCAGTGCGCAGGCGTTTTTATGGTCTCCTACTTCACAGTTCTGCACAGCAGGAACTGCCTGTATATGCCTATTTATAAATATGTATTTGTCTCTATTTGTGCAAACAGAGAAGATTGAATGGAAACTGTGAGTAAGGCAAATAGTTACAGAAAAAAATGGGAACTGTTCTCATAACGGCAGATAGAAAGACAGTTTAACTGTGTGTTTCAAGATGAAAGAATCAACCATTGTTTGGAGGAAACTAATTTCGCAGATTGGATTCTCATTTCTTGGGAAATGAAATCTCCAGATGGGCCTACTAATTACAAGAAGAAGAGGCCTCTATAACACTACCTTTTTGTTATGGAAAAATTCAAACATAACACAAAAGTGTTGTGATCCCCCGTCATGCAGCTTAAACAATAATCAACATTTTGCCAGTCTTGTTAATTATTCTCCTCTCCCTCTTTTTTGCTGGAGTGTTAGAAAGCAAATCCTAGGAAATGTATTATTTTACCAGTAGTAAATACTTCAATGTGCATCTCTAACAGGAAAGGACATTTTTACAGAACATACCACAGTGTCTTTGTCTACAAAATTAGCAATAATTCCCGAATATCATCTAGTGCTGATAATATTCAGATATATTCCATATTCAGTCCATATTTGGATTTCCCAAATTGTCTCAAAAATGCCTTTTTATGTATGGCTCTGGTAAGTTGAAATCCATACAGGGTCCACATAATGCACTTGGTTGTCTCTTGAAACCTACAATAGTTTTCCTTTCTTATTTTTTCCATGCCACTTACTTATTGAAAGAAACAGATCATTTGCCATGTAAAATGTCCCACATTCTCATTATTTCCTCTGGCATCATTTTCATTTATTCTGTTTCTTCTATTTCCTGCAAGTTTGTAGTTAGATCTACAAACTTGATATTCAAGTTCTTTTTTTCCTTTTTTTCTCTTGGTAATAAGAATATGCATACGGAGTGTTATGTTTTTCTTAGTGCATCATTTCAGGAGGCATCTATGGTCTGGTTGACCTCTCTCTTTTTTTTTTTTTGATGTTTGCTCTGAGCTAACATCAGTTGCCAATCTTCCTCTCTCTCTCTCTTTTTTTTTTTGTCTCCCCAAAGCCCCAGTACCTAGTTGTAGATTCTAGTTCCAAATCCTCCTGGTTCTTCTATGTGAGCTGCCACGACAGCATGGCTATGGTTCCATGACTGGGAACTGAACCTGGGCTGCCAAAGCAGAGTGCGTTGAACTTTAACTGCTAGACCATCATGGCTGGCTCTGGTTGACCCACTTTTAATGACTCTTGTTTCCTATAGACGCTAATGTGATTGGTTATTAGTCTTGTTCTACCACTTTTCAATTTTGTATAACATTACATGGCAACAAAATAAAAAAAAATGAGAAATATTCGGAGGAGCATTGCTTCCATTTCTTCTTCTTCATCCTCCCTATTCGATCCCTTTCTCTAGGTAACAAATTTTAGTAGTTTTTAATTTATCCTTACATTGTTTATTTTTGAAAAATATGAGCAAATACACTCTATTCTCCTCCTCTTTGGCTTCTTAATACACATCAATGAATAAGAGCCATAAACTGCAAGGGAAACAAACAATCTATTTGTGGTCTCAAGAACTGTAATTGAGGAGACACAGATTTGAGTAGAAAATCAAATGTGCTCTGATTACAGGAGAGGGGCTCAGGGTTTTTATGGGGAAAAGGGAGGAAGATAAGATAAGTTGTAATAAGGAAGAGTTCATTGGTGCTATGGGGTAAGGCTAGGTTTGTACTTCATAGATTGACTTGAGATTCAGTCATCAGCAAAGTCCAGCCTTATCAATCCATACAAACAAGATATTCTTGTCTTTGTTGACTTCTTGAAATGGTGACAGTTTGGTCCAGTTTGAAAGACAAAGAAAACAAGATGTGTAAGGCAGTTCCTCTGAAATGACTGCTCTGGCTCTACTTTAATCTGGCTCCACCCACGTCATCTTTCACATTTTCCCCTTTCGATCAAGATCTTTCTCTGAGAGCATTGTTGATCAAACACTGGAAAGCATTGCTGATCGACTATGGGAAAGTATTGCTGATCAGCTGTCAAAGCATCATTGGTCTTGTCACCAGGAAGGCTTATTCCTGGTATGGTATGTCCCATGTAGGAGGGAAAGTGGTTTCCTTAGGAGCCTTTAGGCCACATTTGAGCAACAAGAATGCTAGAGCAGAGGAAGCCTCTACCATCAAGTTCTTTTAAGGGCAAACATCTGCAGGTCCTTGAAGTTTCTCATGTGAAGTTTCATAAGCTCTTGTAGTCATTTCAAAGCACTGAGTGACCATTATCTGAGTGGTGTTTTTATAACATTGAGCTATGCAGAGAAGACTAAGTTTTACAACAATGAGAAATCCTATAGTAACAAACAAAATGCTAAGTCCAAATTGGAGAATAGACCTGAACCAGGAGGCACTGCCAGCTAAAGAGATCAAGGAATCATGGGGTGTCAGTGGGCACTGCGTTTAACCGTTCGGCTTGTGCTCTGATTTTGTCTAGTTCAATGTTTACTTTGCCAGAGGTGTTTACTCAAGTAAAACAAGTATTTGCAATAGTTGCAAATCTTACCTCTTAAATCTCTGGAGGTTTGATTGGTTAGGCAAGAAATCCTAGCTACTTAGCACAAGGAATTAGGGGAAGAAATGGTGGAGAGATTGGTAATTAAAGGTACTAAGGGATCTCTAGGTTCACATACAGAACGAGGCTTCTGCGGACAAATCCAACAGTCAGAAAGATTTCCCTCTTTTGTAATAGACTGGGAGATGTGGATAAGAGTATTATCTTTCCAAGAAAGAGGGGGAGAAAATAAGGTAAGAAGCAACAGTGAGTAAAAGGTATACAGGCCTGGTCCCGCTATCTTGAGAAAACTGTCTGCCTCAGATGTTGGCTGCCTCTCTTACTAGTTAATTTGCTTTGGAGGCCTCCAGTGTTTGTACAGGCCCCCATGTTAGGTGGAGCCTTCCTTAGCTGTGAGATGTATCTTCAAGGTTAAATGCCTTCTAGTTCTGCAGCTGTGTCAGTAGTTGGGAGCATTTGGTAAGGTCCTTCCCAGTGGGGCTTGAGGTCTGTCTTCCTCTGATGTTGCTTCCAGAA